CACGGTCCTGGAATAAAAAAAAAAGAATTTCATAGTTTGCTGGGTAATCTTTTGAAACTTCACGGCCCCGGTGAACTTATAGACGTAGAATCAGGTTCAACATATCATTCTAGGGATATTTTTGATTTAACAGCAAATATCGACAAAATTCAAATGAACTAAGCTTCGCTGGGATGGAATAAAGAAAAGAATCCCTCCCTAAATTTGAGTCTGGGTAATCTTGTGAAACTTCACCGTGTGGTGAATTATTATAGGAACATTAGTAAACATCCCTAAAAAACAATAGATTTAATCCACCGGTTTTACAAAAGTTATTTCGTTCCTGTAAATAAATGCAACACCTTATGGTAAACACTTACGAGCCCCAGAAATGGCAAAAATTGCTATGTTGTGATAAATCCGCAGTGATCCAGATTCATATTTCACAAAGCTTGTAGCTAACTTAAAAAGCATTGATTCTGTTTTTTAATCACTTGGAAAAATAAGAGGTTTTATTTACTCATAGTAATTTTGTTAGCGTAATAAATTCATTATTATTAATAATCACGAATAAAAAAATTAATATAACTTGTATAATAAATAAAAAAACCCAATCTTTACATTATATCTATACATTTTTACAAATCTTATTGATTCCGTGCAACAATGTTGACACCAAGCCCACTGAGCTCAAAGAATACAGGTATTAAATCAACAGCTAACCAACCAATACCTAAATAAAAAAATTAAGTTGATTTGAATAATATAAAGAAAAATAAATAATTCAAAAGGTTCTTACCAGCATAAACCACCAATTTTACAACCACATCGACATCGTATCTCAATGGCGGTTCTTCAATAGTATCAAACGACACAATATTCCCTTTATTTTCTTCGCTATAATCATCGTCGTCAAGGTTAACTTTTTCATCAAGCTTTCTAATATTTGATGCTGGCTTGTTAAAATTATTTTGATGCGCAACAAAAGATCCATTCATGCGTCTTCGTTCCGTTAGACCTCGTTCGTTTTCTTTTTCGGCATCTAATTGCTCGTACATATCAGCCGTTGATTGAGGTCCCATTGAATGAATCGGCGCTTGTGGAAGATTAAGCACAGATGGGACAGCACGAATTGAATAGGGTGAAAGATCTTTGTAGTCTCTATAATAATTATGATACAATCAATTTATAGGTTTTTTCAGAACGAATCTAAATCAAGGAAAAAGTTCGAAAGTATCCTTACTTCGCAGGTAAATAATCCTTTCGATAAATGTTTAAATTCAGTGCACGATAAAATGGTGGTAAAGTCGTATATAGAATCTTCTTCATCACCATCCGCCATATAAAAAGTATGGCCACTCCTTAAGTACAAATAAAATTTTCGTGTAACCACTGAATAAAAATTTATGCGATTCGCACTGAATGAATACCTACCAATCACAAGCCTTCCCAGAGATTTAGGTAATCCTACTGTCTGATAATCGTATGGAACATTTGCTCGATCACTACCAGATAAACTGTATTTTGATTGCGCGTATCGCCAACATCCAGGTAATAATCCCATTATCACACCAGCGAAAGCAACGCTACAAAGATGATACAAAAGTAGTGCATATCGATTAAGTTAACTGACGTATAAAGAAACATTGTATATTTTGATGAATATCAAAAAGGTTTACCAATCCTCGAAACAGGGACAATTATCGACAGGTTCCGGAAAGATATAAATTAAGAATATAGTAACTGATATTATGGACATTGGCACTATTATTGTTATTCATAATTCATAAATTCAAATGAGCTATATATAATGTATAAACAAGAAAGGAATCATAGTTACCGAACCAACTATCATTCAATACAAATGCATCAATATCGCTTTGCCAATTCCATTGAAACCACCATAACAATGCACCCATAATAGTACCGCCTATCAAATCTATCATTATAGGAGAATTAATTACAAATAAAATTCACGTAAATAATTAATTTGTAAGATTTTATTTACCAGTAATCGAATGCATCCCACAATAAATCCGTCCCAACACAACACTCACACAATAAACAATCAACGCTGCGACACATAATTGTCGCGTATTTGGATCAATATCATTTATTTGTGTTACAAACGCGAGAAGATATAGTGTGATTGAGATGGCATTGGCGGTGTGTGTCGACGGAAACCCATACTCAAGATGATGTGTTCCAGACATTGTCATGCGCTTAATTGGAGGGGACAATGGTCGTGGTAGACATAGCATATCCTAAGATTTGTTCAATTATCATGACTTTAATGAAAATATTTGTTAAACTAGCACATTGACAACAGCATACCTTAACAAATCCCGTCCAAAAAACACCCGAAGCTACAACTAATGTCAGCCTTGATTATTGTTGTTAAAGATCATCATTAAATAATTTCTGATCAAACTGATTAATTAACTAATAATTTATTTTTTTCTAATAAAGACCCTTTTTCTTTGGTCTTTCACACGTTTCATTCTTCTTACCCGCGTCCTAAAGGTGCATAACCGAACCAAAATAATAATGGCAAACAAACCATGTAAAATGTGTGTGTGCCAAGATTCGAAGTGACTGGAAAATACCAATCAAGAAATGGATGTCGTAGGGAACTCTGTATTTAATAAATATATTTGTAGATGAAAAATAGGTCAAAAGTTTATCTGCAGTGTTCGCTTTCGCATCTTTTCCCCTCGCTCCCTCTAATAAATACCTGTATGAAAACTAAAATGTCCTTCTCTCGTCTAATGAAAGGCAACAGCCAACTACGTATTCGAGCACGCACAGGTGATAGTCTCTGTTCATAATGAAACTCAGGGTGTAAACCGGCATCCATTTTACGTGTAGCCATTATACCTTGATGTCCTCGAGACAATCAACACGTGTTATATAAATCAAATTTTAATATACCCCATCTGAAATATCATATGTGAATTCTTTTTGTTGAATGCTAAATGCGACAATTTTACAATAGCTCGCCACATTTTTTGGTGGATCATGTGACCTATGTCCTATTATGACTTATATAGGCCATAAGGACCTATAACCTTAATGACCTATATGACCAGTCATAAGGTCATAAAATTCCCATAACTCTCTGCAAAGCATGTGCAATTTACCAGAATTTTCCGAGCACAAAAGAATATGTCATGGATTAATAAACTTTCTTCTATATTCACACATAATATCGCTTCTAATTAGTGTCTAAAATTGATTTGCGAAGCTTGCGGATCGCAAATGAATTTTAAATTTTCACAACTGATATATTTATTCCTTATATTCCCCAAACGCAATTTTAAAAATCCTGAATAACACAATCACGAATGTTCAATAAACCCGACAAATTAAAATCCCGAAACAATGGCATCCCGAACGATTGAAATCCTGGAGATTCGATATTTCGGGATGTCATTCATTCGGGAATTCGATCTTTCGTGATGCCATTCTTTTGGGATTCCCATCACAAACATGTGAATTATTGTTAAATCCGCGTTGATTTCATAAATATTTGTCATTAAAATCATGTACATTTCGGTGATATCTTCAATTTTGATAATGCATATTTGGCAATGTATTTTAATGTCGATTTCTGTCATCAATTTCGAGAATATTCTGCGAAGATTTCGGCAGTTTGTTAACCGGATACCTTGTTATTTCATCTCGGAGGATAATTTGACGCAGTAATATAAAAATCGGGGTTATTAGAAGAGAAATTGGTATGGTCGTGTGAAGTAATTTGCTTATGCCAGTCAAAGATTAAAATATTTTTAATGCTGCAGAAATTGTCAAATTAATAATGGAAGCATTATATCTAACGCTAGCAACTTTAGTATTTATTTGAGGGAAATGGCAGTAGCATATTTAAATAACGATAAATATTAAAAGGATTGTTACAGTTTAAAGATTCTCTGCTCTATGTATCAATTTATTGCAAAAATTATTTTTTTTTTTAGTATACACATTAACTTATAATGTTTCGCAAAGCGAGACATTTCACGATAACAAATTAAGACTTTAGTAAAGGGTTGTGGGAAAAATTTTTTCTTCAGCTCACATTTTATCGAAAAATTTATAACATATGCTATATAAAGATTTTTGTAATGGATATTTTCACAATTTCCGCTGATGAAATTTATCACACCTCAAAGAAAAACTGAAAATGCCAATCACTGGAAATTTCACTTAAATTAGAACAAAAATTCGGAAATATTACTAGTTTAACAAATTGAAATTTATGAAATCAAGTTTCGAAAATTTGTCAAAGCCTAATAGCTCAAAAAATGATGGAATAAAAATTAAGAATAAAGGAATTGTCACCTTATTTTATTAACGTTAAAACATTATCCAGATGAAAAAGTTTAATCGATCAGTTGTAAAGATTATTCACAAAAATCACTGCCATTATTAGAAATATTGTTTTCTGCAATAATTATTATAATATAGGATAAGATTGTCATGTTATTTTTAAAAAATGACTCAAAGATAAATTTGATTAAATATAGATGTATGAATAAATAAACCTTTCCGAAATTTATAATTAAAATCCCCGATATTGTCTAACAGATTGTGACATCGAGCCCCTTGAAAAAATTTCCGAAAAATAAGCATCTACATCTCTCGGTTGCTGGCCGCCCAACAGCTTATTCAAATCGTAATCATAATCATTAACAATTTCACCATCACGAATAGCACGATACAATTCCTGATATCTCTTTATCCGTGATTCGGAATTCGGTGGTAAAACGTGCGACAGAAAAACTTCAGCCTCGTTCAACGATGTTCCGCTGAAACTGATCTCTTCTTTTCGTATGATTGATAATTTTTCCGCTAGCTCAGGCCCAGTATAAAATTTTGGACCGTTGAGTGTAATTGTTTTGATGTGGGCATTGGGGTCGATTTTTTGAGCATCATTCGCCGTTGTTGCAGTCTTCACTAAAAGATTAGTTATAGCTATAGCAAAATCATTATCATCCAATGGCGCAAATCTCCCTTCTATTCCGATTGGAAGTTGCAAAATTTTTTCACTGACAAGAGATTTGACGTACAAGTCGAAATGATGCGTGAAAATTGGTACTTTTAGCATAATAACGGATGGGGGTGACTTCAACGATGATGATTTATTGACAAGGTACTCCTCAATCTCTTTTCCTGAATTTGGACTATCGTCGTATGAAGAAAGAATGACCAATCCTTTGACATCATTATTAGCTTGTTCTAAAATTGCGTCAATATACTGAAAAATCAAATTTTCATCTTCATTCTCTGTACGCCAAATAAAAGCCGCGTCAATTCCTTTCAATGCCGATTCGATGGTCTCTTTTTTCGAAGGGATAATTTGCGCAATTTTCGCTCCGCCGCGCACGGTATCTAGTGGCATTTGTCCATCGAATAATCCGAGGCGTATTTCTCCGATAATATCGGGACGAGTATATAGTTCTTTGACCAGTGTTTTGGCCTTGTTATTCGTTCATTTTTATGTTAAGAAATATTATATAATAGTTATTATTCAATAAAAAATGAAAAACCAAGTTTATCATTATTAAAGAGTCAATCTACCAGAGGCTCGTATCCTCCAGAAACAAACACCGAAATCTTGTTGGACGTTGTATTTGTTTCTGTCATGTTCTAGCGAATAACAGGATATTTTTTAGTTATGCAATGGAGGTGAATTTGTTGTTTGTATTTTTGACTAAACGCGGAAACGAACAAACGACGACGACATCATTGAATAAAAAAAGGGAGGGTTAATTTTTAAACAATATTCGCATTATGTACAGCGTATCGGCATCATTCGCGTGGGGATATTTTTTCGTCGTCAACGAAAATGAACCGTCCAAAACGGGCAAAGCCCTTTTTTGTAATGAAAAAATCAGTCCCAAATTGGTCACAGTGTTATCAGGTTGATCAAATGAATTGACATAAACGTAAGCGTCCGTGTGCATGTACGACGGCACATCACGAATGGGCACCCCTATTATTAACTCAGACTCGGTCCCCAGCGAACTTTATCAGACCAGTGCGTGGAAATATAAAGGTGAAGGAAATGCGAATATTATTTTGACGTATATCGGGGAACTTGATGATTTCGTATGTAAATCTTTTTATTGATATAATTAATTACTCTCTTTGTTTAACACTTGATTGATTACTGGAAGAAATCGACTGTTATTCGCTTACGAAAATCCGAGGAAAAGGAGAAAGAAGATTCCTTGAAAATCAATAATCAAACTGATAGTGGCGTTTCTAGCAATAAAGAAGATGAACATCAGGATGATTCGATGCAAACATCGTCTGTCAACCCACAAGCATTTACTGTTTCTTATATTCAGGGCGTGATCGCTCCTTTGATTGGGGCAGAATATACAAGTGAATCGGTTAGTTTGTGAATGAATAATATACCTAAATAAATATCCTAAAATGTCCTAAAATATAAATTATAATGTTGATAACAGAAATTATTACAAATAACACCCGCTTTTCTACAAGCACTCTCAAGATCGATATTTTCGCATCGTACTCCAGATAGGGTACATAAAAACATTGACTTCACGCAACGATACGCGATCCTTTCTCCGGATTACACGAAATTTCGATCTAATAATAAGCAGCAAGAATCACCGATTAATGCGATATCTATTGAGATCAAGGTAAAAATCAATTTATGAAAACTATAATGAAAAACTAACAAAACTGATAATATCAAAAAATTATAATGTTGACTCACATTATAGCCAAAATGGGCGTTCATCCCCACATCGACCAACATTGCTGCGTCAAATTTAGTAAAACGCGAAACCTGTCGTTATTGCATGCACCAATATTACAAACACAAAAAAACCCAAAAACACATAATTATTGATAAACAACGGACAACAATAGTGACAGATTATTGTCCATTGGATTTATTTTCGTTAAAAAAAGATCGATTGAGACGTGCAATTGGTGCGTTGATTTCCACGCCTATGAATAATTTTAAACTTTTTGTGGATGGATCATCGGTGGATCTTGCAAAGGTTTGATTTTTATGTTAATAATAATTTTGAATCCTCCCTCTCTCTCTATATATGTGTGTATGTATGTATGTATATATATGTATGTGTGTGTGCATCAAATTAGTCAACTTTTATATTTTTTAATATAGACCAATTGGCAACTTTCATTAAAAGATTTCTTTGTACACGAAAAGAATGAAACGAATATACTTAATGAGGATAATGATGATGATGATAATTATATTGCAAGGTACATCACTAAAATGAAATCTTTTTAAAATTCAACTCTGAACGTTATTCTCATGACTTATTATGTAAATAATTTAATTTCGACAATATTAGCAAGATAACCGAAAATCTGATAACATTGTTAACCGCTACAATCCTAAAAGAACACAACCTATTTTCACGACTCAAACACCTTCAAAAGACACTTGACGAATTAGATATCGAAGGGATAATGAAATTATTGTCGTCGCAAACATCATCCTCATCCTCGTATACTCGGTTATTTGTTGCTGAGCCATCGTTAGAAGAGTGGCGCACAGCTGCTTTACGATACCTCGAGCGGACTGAAAGGCGTACGGACGGCGGTACACTACAATCATCAAATTCTTACGATAATAGTGGTAGTAGTATTGAGAAACAGCCAATAGACGAAGCAGAGATCAAGCAACGAATTCTAGAGTTCCTTCTATCGACCACTTTTAAGGATTGTTCAATTATTTTCACTTTCCAGAAAACATCTTTAGCAGAACTTTCAACAAATAATGACAATGATATCACCTTTTTTCCAGAACAAGTCAAATATATTTCAATTCCATTCTCACCAAACATCAAGAAGCATAATAGTGGTAATAACAGTAATCAGGAACATCACCAGTATTACAAATATAAAACTGTAATACTGGATCTTGACCCGAAATCGATCTTGAAACTCGACTATTATTATGATCTTGATGTGAAGATTGTGAGAAACTTTTTAGAGTATGCTGAGAAAGAACTTGGCGTTGAAGATGACGATAATGGAGAACCAAATAATAATAGTCATGTATTTTTGGGTGCAAATAAAAGGAAATGCTTTGAATAGATCAGACAACTTTAATGACATCAATTATATTATGTACTATGTATATTAATACCTCTCTATCAGTCATCATTAAAATATTAAATATATTGTTATCTATTTATTAACATTATTATTATTGTTATTATTTTACTATTTTTTACTTATTATTTATTATTCTTTATTATTGATTATTGATTATTAATTATTTATTATTTATTATTTATTATTTATTATTTATTATTAATTGTTTATTATTATTATTATTATTATTATTATTATTATTAATTATTATTATTAAGTATTTAAATTTTATAATATTGATAAGCGAAAATGAATTAACGAATGAACTAATACTATTGAGGATTTTGTGTAAAAATCTTCTTTGTCGATCGAACCGCCAAATAATTCGAATCATCTTCAGGCAGAATTCTTTTTCGAGAATCGACTGATCGTCGTCGTCGTCGTTGTTGTTGCAACTTTAACATTGAGCTCGACGGTAAATCTTCTATCGAATTTGAAGAGGACTCTGTAATTATTTGCCGAGAAAGTTGGGGTGTAGTCGTGGGTGAAGAACATACAAGAGAAGATGAAGATTTCGTGGCGATGGTATAATTTCCAATAGATTCTGACAAGTGTAAGAAATGTGCTTGTGTATTTTCTTGTGATATTGCTGTTGTGTTAATCTCTTTCGATTGATGATTTTGGTACAATAATTCTTGGTGTTGTAGTGGTGAGGATGGTGGTGGTGGTTGTCGAAGATGTTGAGATAGTTGTTGTTCTTGATCACGCGACTAGATGCGACAGATAACCACATCAGCGCTTATCGATGAACATATAGCCCGGACGATAATAATTACAATAATAATATGAAAATAACAACAATGAAATAATAAAAGAGCGTGATTTTTTATGCTAAATTCTAGATATGATGCATCAAAAATTTTATAACTTTATTTTTGTTTCTTTGTTAATATTATTAAATAATGAATAATATCTTATAAAGGACGAAAAGAAAGCGCTACCGGGTAATAAGAGGAAGGATCCGAAACGGCTGGATATTGCACTCCTGCAGGACCTTGATAATATGCAAGTACATTCTGATCGTACATCTGTTCGGGTTGTTGCTAATTAATGAATGAATGAGTTAAAACCATCATCATTATTATCGTTGTTATTAATGATGGATATATAATGGATGAAAAAACGAATAAACAACATACAGCTTCCTCCTTTGGTCTTCGTGCGACTTTTGAAACCTCTTCACGCGGAACAATATCAATAAGAAAATCAAATTGATCTGATCTACCAACGGCTGATGCAACATCACTGCGTTGAAGTGTGCGTCGTTTATTCTCCTCGGCATGGATCCATGCTCGCATTGTAATCTCTGATATAAAGATCTCGCAAGCTTTTGAAAAAAGGATCGGGGCCTCAGCACTGATCATCTGTACGTGTCGTGTATACGCGAAAAAGAGTATTGCATGAAAATGAAGAATGAGTGCATCGCTCTTCATTGGATGAAAAATTCTCATTTTACATCATGAATGATTAGCTAGAAATATACCTTAACATCCTGATCACTTTTCATAACCTTTTTGATCCTTGCAAGTGGTAACGGATGATTCTTGAAATCGCTTTCAAAGTTTTGTGCTGTGATTAGCTGTTGATTCCAAAACTACACGAGGAGAGTAACAGCGTTAAAGTTTTTGTGAAAGGGATAGTTGTAAAAGCCAGTTACCCTTTGAAAACTGCAAGATAACAAACCTGACTGGAAAACTGTTGATTTTGTGCCTGAAGCTGCTGAGAGTGTTGTCCACTAAGGTGAGTAGCTGAGGACGCAGCCGCGTTTGAACCAGAGGCGTTGGGTGTAACGGGAGCAGCATTTGGATCGACGACAGAGTGTGCAGTTTGGTCTGCCATTTTGCTTTCAAGTATTCTTTAAATGATTGTTATTGGGTAAAAATTTGAGAAAAATTGAATAAAAATGCGTAAAAATACGGGCAAAGAAGTAAGTTTAAAATATGTTATAATCAGAATCGACTGTTCCCTTTTACCAATCAGATTCTCTATGATGTAATCAAGTGTGAGCTTATGCAGATTGAAATCTCCACTCTCATTAACTCTCCACGATTAATGACCATGTGCATAAGATAGATTTAGATTTTGTCCCATTTTAACAAAATTCTTTGTTCAATAAAAAAAGGGGGAAATTGTGCGGTAATCAAATACATGTAAATGGTGCAGCCATCCACTGTAAAAAGAAGACTCAAGCCTTTATTGAATGAAATCGTCAAGACTTTTCAAATTTGGGATGATCTGAATAATGATTGTTTTACTGTGGCGAATTCGTTGATTAATACGAGACTTGAAGAACGGTAATTTTTCTCACATTTATATTACGTCATTAAATATAATTCGACCAACAAAAAATTATTTGCATATCTATTGTCTAATCGAAGCCAAACCAATTGGGATTAATTTAATCCACAATAGATATGTTGACCATCCAGAACTCTGGCCATCAGAACTTTCTTCCTTCTCCTCCACGTCAAAAGATCCCGACCTAAAACAGCGGTACAGCGAAAAGCTAAATGATCAAATCGCGGAGCTGTCGCAAATGCTTGTTCAAATATTTGAAAAAATGGTAAAATGGTTTTTTTGAGCAAAGCGTGGATAAAAAACAACGATTTTCATCTCCCCCCCTTCCAAAAAAGGAAACGCACTGTCTCAGCATACAACATCGATCCGTGTCACAAGTAGAAATGCTCTACGCCGATGCGTGTAACACGCTAGGACCAGACTTTTGTTCGAGTACACCAGTGTTTTTCACGTGTTCGCTTGACCGATATCGTTATGTATATAATAATTTTTTTTGAACTTTATTATTCATTAAATATAATGTTAACGAAATGATCTTGATTTATTCAATTTGATTAGTGAATCAAGTAAAGGAAATTCAGACAATGTACACTCGAGAGATGAAATTCAAGCAACGAATGATAAAAGAAGAGTTAATGTCAAAAATTAAAGTACGGGAAGAAGGAATGGTGTTGCTATCGGCTTGGTTGAATCAACCGTCAATTGACTTTGAGAGACGATCGGAGATTGTAGAGATATGGAAGGTTGAAATGGAAGGAGAGGAACAAGAACAGTTGCTATTGAAGAAATAGGTCAACTAGTCTAATTCATCATTTCCCCATAGAGAAAGAAGAAATTTAAGTTACGATGTGATATGTTTCATTATAATGCATACATACTGTGTACTCAAAAATTTATAAATTTCTCACTTCCAAACGAAATTGGTTAATCACAACAGATGAATGAATTTAGCCAAGTGCATCAACGGTATCCAATTAACTCAAGTAACACACATAGTAAAGTGATCAAGAGAGAAATTGCCTTTAGCGAATTAAAACCAATTCAATGACACTGTAATGATAATTAAATTTACATTATGAAAGAGACATTTCATAATTAAAAATTAAGAATCCTGCTGCGATCCGGAAAAGGTTTTAGCAAACCATGAATGAGAATGTAATTTAATAGATTTAATAGATGGAATAAATAATTCGATCATAGTTAATATTAAGCCAAATTATACTCGAACCGCAGAATTTAAAATTCAAAAGAGAATCCAAAAAAAGAAAACGTTCTACAAATAAAGATGTTGTACTGCCTACTCGATTTTGATTGGTTCATCCGGATAATTAATAATAATTGGTTCGTTGTGCAGCATACGTGATAAATTAAAAATCAATGCAGAGCAGATCTTCCCGTCACTTGATTATTCAAAAGTAACGCACTACATTTATTCACAAGCGAGTTTTGCATCAAAGCTGCTTAATGCAATCGCGAAAGCTTGTAACAGACACATAGGATACATAAAGTCCATAGTAAATGTGTCATCAGAGACTCGACCAAATTGCATTATGATATAGTCCACTAAAAATCAATATAAAAGATTTAAATGTAAAATAGAGCCGCAACTTTTCTTCGAAGAAAGGAAATTTAATCTTAACACTTACAATCATTATCATGCACAATCTGGAAATTTTTAACAGAAGCCAAAGTTACACGTCCGCTAAAATTCAAGACATATGATTGAGTTTCTAAAAAAGGTTAAATTGTATTAGATTTCAACTGAATCGACAAGATATTCATGAAATTATTCATAAAAATAACTTACCTTCATTCCATTGAGGCGATTTATTATGAAGTACTAAGATGTCTCGATGACTTCCGCTCTTAAACTTTCCAATCAGCGTCTCCTCTTCCTATATATTTAGAGTATTAAATAGAAGCGAAAGATGAATTATTATTATTATTATTATTATCATCATCATCATCATTATTACCGTCTTTGGACGGAATTCCGGCCGTTCTCCGGTTCTTGTCATCCCTGTTAGCAATACTGTCATCTTACGGGGACCTTTAAATCCCAAAATATTTGGATCCTAGTATTATTTATTTTGTGTAACAGATCACTAATCTTTTTGCAAAATAGATAATAAGTATATGAAATTATTTTTTAGTAGCTTTGGATATTTTCTTACATAGACCACCGCACCCAATTCTTCGCGAAGAGGAACATCTGCTGAAATTTGTTCACGTTTGAATGGGTTTCTGCCCTGCGAGTAGATGGTAAATGCAGTTCCCAAAAAATTGGATCTATGCTCATATAATTAAATTAATTAACCTCGGAAATCTTCGATCAAGTTATTTCATACGTTACAGATTTATGTTAATTAATTACCTGACTTTACCGACAATGTGTTTTATTGTATCGCCAAGTCTATCTGTAGTGATAACATAATGAGAACTTTTGCTTTTTTTTCGTTTTCGTGCTGCAAGCATAAATGTTCGAGTTTGATCCGTCAAATCTTCCACAAAGAGTTCATATTGCGGATAAAATTTTCCAAACCCATCTTTGCTACGAGTTATTTTGCAAAGAACTTTTTGACCTTGTGGAACTGGTCTAAGTATAGTATTTCAATTCATTAGTTATTCGCAAAAATCACTAGCATTTACGCGACAGAAAAAACAAATATCTTCATTTACTTCATTACGAAATCCAAGACCTCCTCATCTTTCATTGACTGAGTTGATAACCGAAAATTTTCAATCATTTGCGCGGTGGGGCGATTCACCACTATAGCACGCATCTGTTCGGCTGGTGCAATTGGTTGTTCTAATATCGATGATGCCATTCTTGAAGTTGTGCCGTTAGACGGAGATGTTATTGACAATGAGTTTGATCCGTAATTATTCTAATTTGGAGAAAATAAAAATTTAGTCTCTCATGGAACTAAACTCTTGCTAGTCGAAATTGAATTTTGTACCCTTGGAGAGCTTGATTCACTTTCGTCGTCTGAAAGATCCGAACTTTCGTCAGAGGAATCTTCGTTTCCAAAATTCTCCGGTGGAAGATTTTGAATGGTTGATATAATTGTTGGAGAGAGTTCATTGTCTTCTTAATTTGTTTATACGTACATAAGTCAAAAAGATTGAGTGCGTTTGTTAATTATATTGTTTAAAGACGAATTTGCAAGTATATGTGAGAATATTCCTCTTTCGGCATATACATACCTACTGGAATTCGGGTAAATTTTGATCGGCCGATTCTCGGTATACTCTCATTTTCCGTGGTTAACCGTGAATTTGAAGCAGATGAAGAGGACGGGGTCTGAGTATAGTCGTTATTATCGTTACCTGTATTGGGGGTGAAAATCTCGTCGAGTAGACTTTTATTTGCTTCCATTTAGATATTATCACACTTTAACGTTAAATAGTTTATTTTTCAAATGATCTACACACAAACTTTTTATAGAAATTATAGAAATTACAGTCACAAACACATGACTTTCTTCTAATAATTTTGAAATGATTTTTACTAAATGAACCACCCAATAAAATTTCTATCATAGTGACATACAAACAGAAGAACATAATTGTAATCATCTGTTGAAGATTTAAAAGAAATTTTGAAATGATTTTTAGAACTTTTCATGAATTACGAAGTTATAGTGATATATAAATAGAAAAACATAATTATAATTATTTGTTAAAGATTTTAAAGGACTTAATAATAGAAGAAAATATGAAAAACATGAAAGTGAAATATTTATCATGTTTTAAATTTGAAAGAACAATATTATAAACTTAAAAATATTTGTAATCTTAGAAATATTCACAAGTAATTATTATAAATATATTATTTTTAATTATATAATAAACTTATTTTTTAAAAAAACTCTTGAAAATGATTATAATATATAAAGAATTTATTATTTTATATATAAAGAATTTATTATTTTACATATAAATAAAGAGATTTAATTATTTTTTTTCTCTTGAACTTTATCAAACTTATTTTATAATAAATTATAATTAATTTTAATTATAATAATATAATTAGAATTATTATTTTTAAGTTATTATATTTATTAATATAATAATATTATATATAAATATTTAAAAATATTATTATAATAAATCTATTATAAATATAATTTTTATTTTTATAATATACAGTGACAACCAAAAGTAAAGACTCAGGGGCTAAATTTACTAATAAAACATAGTAAAAATTGAAATTTTCTCTTTATATTAAAATTTATAATTTTAATAAAAAATAATTTTTATTTTTATATTAAAATAAAGTTTATTAGTTATAGTTT